CTTTCTCAGATGGGACCTTTAATGAAAGTGCCCTTCTTTTACGCAATGATATTCCGTACTGTCAACTATTTGTCCATACCTCGCTGCATTACACTGCAGCCTGTATCCACTTGAATAAGTGGTTTACAATATGTTCTTTATATCTCTCTCCTTCTCGAGCATTTTCTATCCCAGACTTTGCCTTTCTTGTTTCATCCTTACCACCACCACTTCTGTTACTTGGTGATTTTAATGCCCACCATTTCCTCTGGGGGGGGTCTCATTGTGACTCACGTGGCATCCAGTTGGAGGCTTTTCTCGCCTCTCGCCCCCTCCATGTTTTAAATACGGGTACTCCCACCCATTTTGATCCTTGTACTCATACTCTCTCTTGCATCGATCTATCAGTCTGCTCTTCCTCCACTGCACTAGACTTCACCTGGTCTGTTCTACCGGATTTACATGACAGCGATCATTTTCCAATCATTCTTACTTCTCCTTCCTATTCACCTTTCCGTAGCCCTCGCTGGCAATTTGATCGGGCAAATTGGGATCTTTACTCACACCTCACTGCTTTTAGTGAGGTTCCTTCTTCATCCTCCATTGATGAGCTCCTACACCTCTTCTCGACGTCAGTTTATACCGCAGCTTCTCATTCTATACCCCAAACCTCAGGCAGGCATTCTCAGAAGTGCGTGCCTTGGTGGTCTCCTGCTTGTGCTCGTGCAGTACGTTCGAAACGCGCTGCATGGGGCAGGTACCGGTACAATAGAACCGCTGAGAGACTTCTTGATTTTAAGCAGAAGCGTGCGATTGCTTGCCGTGTCATCTGTGAAGCTAAACGCACTTGTTGGCGAGACTATGTTTCCACCATCACCTCTGCTTCTTCTATGAGTGCAGTCTGGAAAAAAGTCAGGAAATTGAGTGGTAAATACTCTCCTGACCCGGCTCCTGCTCTACGGGTCGCTGGTGTTTATGTAGCAAACCCTCTCGACGTTGCCATTGAACTTGACACACATCTGGTCCGTATTTCCCAAGGGCTCCATCTATGCCCCTCGTTTCTTTCCTCAAAGTCTGCCAGAGAGTTAGTACCCTTGGACTTTTCTTCTCTCAGAGAAGAACAGTATAATGTGCCTTTTACACTTCAAGAACTAGAGGCAATGCTCTCAGCTTGCTGATCATCGGCAGCTGGGCCTGACGACATTCATATTCGTATGTTACAACATTTACATCGGTCAGCCCTTGTTGTCCTCTTACACCACTTCAATCTTATTTGGGCACAAGTTCTTCCCCAGCTGTGGAAATCTGCCATTGTTCTCCCTTTCCACAAACCGGGTACTACAGGACATGATGCCTCCCACTATCGTCCCATCGCTCTTACTAGTGCAGTTTGCAAAGTGATGGAACGTCTCGTAAATCGACGTTTAATGTGGTATTTAGAGACACACAACAGTCTCTCTGCTAGTCAATATGGCTTTCGTAAGGGTCGTTCTACCATAGACCCCTTACTACGCTTGGATACGTATGTTCGTAATGCCTTTGCGAATAATCACTCGGTTATTGCCATATTTTTTGACCTTGAGAAGGCATATGACACAACTTGGAGGTATAATATTTTGGCCCAGGCCCATTCCTTAGGCCTCCGAGGCAATCTACCATCCTTCCTTAAGAACTTTTTAACTGACAGACATTTCTGTGTTCGAGTCAATAATGTTCTTTTCCCGGACTTCGTCCAAGCTGAAGGGATGTGTTCTAAGCACAACACTTTTTCTCCTTGCTATAAATGATTTGGCCTCTGTTCTTCCATCCAATATTTGGTTATCACTCTATGTTGATGACTTCGCTATTGCTTGTGCAGGCGCTGACTGTCATCTTATTGCAGTTTCTCTCCAGCATGCGGTCGACCGTGTTTCCACTTGGGCCACCACGCATGGGTTTAAATTTTCAAGTACCAAAACGCTATGGCTCCTGTATCCCCGAACGTGATACAGTCAGGTTTCTAGGCCTTCTCTTTGACCGTAGGTTATCCTTGAAACCTCACATTACCTCTCTGAAGGCAACTTGTCACAGCTGGCTAAACCTTCTTAAAACCCTTGCTCATCTTTCCTGGGGAGCTGATCGTCGAACTCTGCTTCGCCTACATTCAGCCCTCGTTTTATCTAAACTCGATTATGGTGACCAGATTTATTCCGCGGCCTCTCCTGCTACTCTCTCTAGCCTTAACTCTATCCATCACCAAGGATTACGTTTGTGCCTTGGTGCTTTTCGCTCTTCCCCTGTTGAGAGCCTCTATGCAGAAGCGAATGTTCCATCCTTGTCTGATCGCCATGATGCCCATTGCCTTCGCTACTATGTACGCTCTCACGATCTCCACAATCCTTCCATTTATAGAATGGTCACCGATATTAGTAGACATTCTTTATTCGTTCGCCTCCCCTGTTTGCTCCGTCCCTTTTCTCTTCGCCTACATTCACTCTTGTCTTCCCTTCAGTTACCACCTTTATATGTTCATGTAGCATCTCACTTTTCCCTACCCCCCTGGGAAGTTCCAGCTGTTCGGGTCTGTTCTTTCTCACTCCCTTGCTCGAAAGCTCAACTGCCTATGGTGGCTTCCCGCTCTCTTTTTCTTGATCACTTCCACTCCCATTCTCATGCCACCGCTGTGTACACAGATGGCTCAAAGTCTTCAGACGGCGTCGGATTCGCAGCAGTGTTTCCGGACAGCGTCGTGCGGGGGCATTTACTATCATCGGCTAGCATTTTTACTGCTGAACTGTATGCCATTCTTGCAGCACTTATTCGTATCGCATCTGTGCCTGTGTCATCATTTGTGGTACTCTCAGACTCCCTTAGTGCTCTACAGGCTATACGAAAATTTGATACATCTCACCCCCTAGTTCTCCTTATCCAACTTTGGCTACGCTGTATCTCTACGAAGCATAAATATATTTTTGTTGGGTCCCTGGTCATGTCGACGTACAGGGCAATGAACAGGCAGACAGTGCTGCGCGGTCAGCAGTACATGACCTACCAATTTCCTATAGAGGTGTTCCATTTCTGGACTATTTTGCTACAATAGCTGCCCACCTTCACGCCCGTTGGCAACAACGTTGGTCAACTCTGCTAGGTAACAAACTTCATTCTATTAAACCGAGCATAGGTTACTGGCCGTCTTCTTGTCATCAGTGCCGTGGTTGGGAGACCACTCTCTCCCGTCTTCGCATTGGCCACACTCGTCTTACTCACGGGTATCTCTTGGAGAGGCACCCTGTACCTCTCTGTGAGCAGTGTCAAGTTCCAGTATCGATTAGCCACATTCTGTTAGACTGCCCTCTCTATCAACGAGCACGCAGAATTTACCTCCAACGCCGTCTTCGTTCTACTACTCTCTCTTTACCTTCCCTTCTTGCTGATGGACCCTCCTTTAATCCTGACTCTCTCATTGACTTCTTGACAACGACTGATTTACTCCACAAACTCTGATGATGATACCTTACGCACTCCCCTCAGCCCTTTCTAGCTCAGTCTCTTGCTGCCCTTTACCCTTTCACCATCCACTGCTCCGCTGTTATCCGTAACCTATTACTCATCCACCTCCCTTTTGCCACCTGATGCCCTTGCTTCCTTCCTGCCCTGCAGCGCTGTATAGCCCTTGTGGCTTAGCGCTTCTTTTTGATTATAATAATCTGACCACGTTATTGTTTAATTGAAATCGGTAAATGGGCAGTTTCTTGTACTCAATCAATAGAAAAAAATGGAGTTCTAAAGAAATAGCTATGAGTTTGGTCGACTGGAACAATGGAATTAGCCAAAAATAGGGCTCAAAGTGGGCAAAATCGCTGATTCATAAATATCGCAGAGGCCGCTAACTTTGCGAGAGCGTAATTCCGTCATTTTCCATCAAATTTTGTTCTTTTGGTGTCAGTACAATCGGGAAAAGATTCTCTCTCATTTCATGAGAAAAAAATAATTTTTTTTTCGGAAATTTTGCGACACCAGGACACTCCTCAGGATTTGGGGTTGCGACAGTCAAGGGGTTAATAGCTCCACTCTTTTGTCTTTGTTAAATACATTTTTTCCCTAGGCTTTCTCAGCTTACTGAACTCACTCCAGAATTTTTCATTATTCTCAGAAAATTTGCTGATGACACCTTTGCCACTCTCTCACCACTCTTAACCTCTCTTTGGATCTCCACATGCTCCTTCCTCTGTATATCAATTCTATATTGCAAAAACATTTCATATGCCAACTTTTTCTCCCTTCATACCCTCTTTCCCTCGTCAATCCTCTAGTCTCTCCTCTTCCCTTCTATTGTCCTAAGCTTAAATTCAGAGAGATGAAAATATAGTGATATACTGTATACACAGAATTATGTCACACTGACTAGATTGGATTATCCTGGGTTAAGTCTATATAGTGTATTTATTGGCTGAATTTGTGGCTTAGCACTTCTTTTTGATTATAATAATATTGGCTGAATTCCACTGTTAGTATCTTACTGTATTAAATTTGTAACAAATAATGCATCTTCCTGGTTGTTTCACAACTTGTTGCTGTATAGCCCTTGTGGCTTAGCGCTTCTTTTTGATTATAATAATAATAATTCACAACTTGTTTGCTGGTAGGGAAGCTGGTGGAAAAAACAGGCCTTAGTTTCATTATGCAGAGATCTGCCTAGTCTCTGATTTCTTTCAAAGGCAAGAGGAGGTTTTAGGAGATCCAAACAGTTGAGCTGAGGTAAAAAAAAACTGGCAGGTGGCATTTTTGAAAATTGTGTGCCAGTATGTTGGATACACAATCATTGCATAGTAGTACATTAGATGCAGTTAAAAGGTTAAGTCACTTTTTCCACGATTCAAAATTGATCACTAAATAAAATGGTTTCCTGTTCTCTTAAAATTATAGTATTGTAATTTCATATCTGAAATTTAAATATCTTGTATATTGAGATACATTTTATTATCTTACAACTTACTAGCATATACATGTATATATATATATATATATATACAGTGGACCCCCAGATAACGATATTATTTCAATCCTGAAGTCTGTTTGGGTGCCGTTATAGACCGAATTTGTTCCCATAAGAGATATTGTGAATTAGATTAGTCCGTTTCAGACCCCCAAAAATACACCTACAAAAATACACTTACATAATTGGTCGAGTTGGAAGCTGATCGTTATGCGGGGGTCCACTGTATATATAAAAAAAAGTCCAAACATAAGGAAATTCTAACAACATAAGAAAAATTGATAAATATTGGCCATGTAAAAGTATAAACCTCTCTGTACATACAAAAAGGGATTCTTTATTTTAGAAATGTCTCTGTTGTCCAAACGGACTAAAAAGATTATTCTGAAATGGGTTTCTGAAGGCATTTTGCTGAGGTGGTTCTCTAAACTGTGACCTGGTACCAAACCCAGTAGACTTGACAAGGTCACATCTCACCAGTACCACCCCTGAAGGGTTCACATCTACCTTGAACCGTTTGTCTGGGAGAACAGTTCCATAATGTACACCATCAAAAACATCAGTAATTGAATATCCTCCTGTGAAGTCGAGACCTAGTTCACGCAGAGTTACCGAGACCTGAAAATACAATACAGTTGTAACATTTTTAAAGGGTAGTGTTAGGAGTTGCACAGGTGTTTTCATAACCTGACATGCTGTTGGAGTGTGAGCAAGGCAACAACATTTATGAAGGGATTCGGGGAAACCAGTTAGCTGGACTCGAGTCCTGGAGGAGAAAAGTACTGTGCCTGCACTCTGGAAAAGGGGTGGGAATATTGCAGTTTAGAGGGCATCTGAGGTGCAGTATCAATGCACCTCGGACAAGACAGTGGTGATTTTTTTTTTTTTTTTTTGGGGGGGGGGGGGAAGTATCCCTACCTTGGTAGAATTATTATAATCAAAGCGCTAAACTGACATATAGTGCCAGGGCTATAGAGCTACGTGGAGAGGACTGTAAGGAACACTAGGAGTTGTGTGCCAAACTTTGTACGTATAGTCAAAAAGTGATCATAAATCAAAGGTAGGGCCATTTGCAAGAAGGTAAGAATGGTAAGGGCAGCAATGGGATGGATAACCACTGAACAAACTTTATGCTCTTGTAACCTGACATACTGGGGAAAACTGGGAGAGCAACACCTAAAGCTCTCCCCAATTACCCGAGGTCACAAATATTCCATTGTAAACGAGTCATTATGCACAGAGATACGTATGCTAACAATGAGAAGTGATTAAATCTACGGGCTAGTAAGGTCTGTGAAGTCAATGTGTGGAGGCAATGGAAAGCATGTAAGCAAGGAGGAATCGGAATGCTGTGACGGAAAAGACTGCTGCAAGGGTTGTGAAAAATAAAGCGGTGCACTGGTGACCATCGAGGGTTTTGTCTCCACAATATAGTCGGAGGTAGCATGAAGTGTTTTAGCGGACAAGGAAGATGCCAATACCATGACTTAAGAGACAGGTGAGGTAGAGATTGGGGAAACTGGAGGGAACCAAAGAGGTTTGAGAGGGAAGTACGAACCTGGAGAGATGTGCCGGAGGGGACAGAAGAGTCCTGCAGTGAAACCAGAGAGGAAGGAGGTTGAAGGAGTCTGGGGGGCACAGAAAAAGAGGGTAGGTGAACCTCTACCTTCATGCGAGTTAGAAAGGGGGGTGAGAACTAGGCACCAAGACTGAAAAGGAGGACTGTTTGGAAATTGTAAGCACCGGAGGAATGTGAAGAGACTTAAGCTTAGGAGACAGGTTCAACTTAGCAGGTGGAGGTGTGCGAGGCCTCACAGACTGAGAAACTAGCGGGTGAGATATAGTAGAAGTAGGAAGAGGTACGGAGGTGGGGGTTTTAGGGGGGTAAAACTGAAAAAGAATTAGAGGGGTGACCCCGGAAGACATGGCACCAGAGGAGCTGGTAGGTGGGGGGGGACCACCGTCAAGGTTGGAAGTCTCCTAGCTACTCGAGAATAAGGAACACAAGGAAGATTCCCCTGAAGGCGGAGCCAAGAGACAGCCATAGCATAAGACCTACGCTCTCCTTAACCCTTTGACTGTCAGTGTTGTGTATATACATCTTACGAACCAGTATTTTTTGATGTATTAATACACCAAAATTCTAGCTGGTAGGCCCACATGTGAGAATGGGTCTGCGTGAGCAGTATAAAAAAAAATCCTGTATTATGATCAAAAAGAAGCGCTAAACCACAAGGGCTATACAGCACTGCAGGGCAGGAAGGAAGCAGGGGTATCAGGTGGCAAGTACAGGGGTAGAGGGTAGCAAGAGATTAAGGTAGAAAGGGTTGAGGGGAGTGCGAAAGGTATCGTCATCAGAGTTTGTGGAGTAAGTCAGTTGTTGTCAAGAAGTCAATGACAGAGTCAGGATTAAATTATAATAAAAAATAAGCGCTAAACCACAAGGGCTATACAGCACTGCAGGGCAGGAAGGAAGCGAGGGTATCGGGTGGCAAAAGGGAGATGGATGAGTAATAGGTTATGGAGAACAGCAGGGTAGAGGGTAGAAAGGGCTGAGGGGAGTGCGAAAGGTATCATCATCAGAGTTTGTGGAGTAAATCAGTCATTGAGAGAGTCAGGATTAAAGGAGGGTCCATCAGCAAGAAGGGAAGGTAGAGAGGAGACGACATTGGAGGTAAATTCTGCGTGCTCGTTGATAGAGAGGGCAGTCTAACAGAATGTGGCTAACTGATAATGGAACCTGACACGTCTCGCAGAGAGGAACAGGGTGCCTCTCCATGAGTAAGACGAGTGTGGCCAATGCAAAGACGGGAGAGAGTAGTCTCCCAACTTCGACACTGATGACAAGAAGACGGCCAGTAACCTATACTCGATTTAATAGAATGAAGTTTGTTACCGAGTAGATCAGACCAACGGGTGTGAAGGTGGGTGGCTATTACAGTAAAATAGTCCGTAAATGGAACACCTCTATGTGAAACTGGTAGGTCATGTACTGCTGACCGTGCAGCAGTGTCTGCCTGTTCATTGCCCTGTACGTCAACATGACCAAGGACCCAACAAAAAACAATATCTTTATGCTTGGTAGAGATACGGCGTAGCCAAAGTTGGATACGGAGGACTAGGGGGTGAGGTGTATCAAATTTTCATATAGCCTGTAGAGCACTAAGGGAGTCTGAGACAACCACAAATGATGACGGGCATAGATGCAATACGGATAAGTCCTGCAAGAATGGCATACAATTCAGCTGTAAAAATGCTAGCCGAGGATAGTAAATGTCCTCGCACAACACTGTCCGGAAACGCTGCTGCGAATCTGATGCCATCAGAAGACTTAGAGCCATCTGTGTACACTGATAGAATGAGAGCAGAAGTGGTCAAGAAAAAGAGAGCAGGAAGCTACCGTAGGCACTTGGGCTTTCACGCAAGGGAGTGAGACAGAACAGACTTGGACAGCTGGAACTTCCCAAGGGGGCAGGGAAAAGTGAGATGCTACATGAACATAGAAAGGTGGTAACTGAAGGGAAGACAAGAGTAAATGTAGTCAGAGAAAAGGGATGGAGCAAACAGGGGCAACGAACAAATAAAGAATGTCTACTAACATCGGTGACTATTCTACGTATGGAAGGATTGCGGAGATCATGAGAGCGAACATAGTAGCGAAGGCAATGGGCATCACGGTGATTGGACAAGGATGGAATATTCGCTTCTGCATAGAGGCTCTCAACAGGGAAAGAGCGAAAAGCACCAAGGCAGAAACGTAATCCCTGGTGAGGGATGGGATTAAGGCTTGAGAGAGTAGTAGGAGAAGCCGCTGAATAGATCTAGGGGCCAAATCATTTATAGCGAGGAGAAAAAGTGTTGTGCTCAGAATACATCCCTGAGGGATACCCTCAGCTTGGACAAAGTCCGAGGAGAGCACATTATTAACCCGAACACGGAAATGTCTGTCAGTTAAAAAGTTTTTAAGGAAGGATGGTAGATTGCCTCGGAGGCCTAAGGAGTAGGCTTGGGCCAATATATTATACCTCCAAGTTGTATCGTATGCCTTCGAGGTCAAAAAAATGGCAATAACTGAGTGGTTATTCGCAAAGGCATTACAAACATATGTATCCAAGCGTAGTAAGGGATCTATGGTAGAACGGCCCTTACAAAAGCCATATTGACTAGTGGAGAGACTTTTGTCTCTAAATACATTAATTATTATTATAGCTGTATAGCCCTTGTGGCTTAGCGCTTCTTTTTGATTATAATAATAATAATTATTATTATAATCAAGGGGAAGCACTAAACCCGTAGGATTATACAGCGCCTGGGAGGGATGTGGAAGGCATTCAGGCTTAATTCGGGGAACTGGAACCTAAACAGAATGGAATGGACCCCGGTACCCTTTCCCCTACCTAGGAACTAGCGTGTCTGTGGGAAAAATCCCAAAGGCCAAAAAGAGGAAGGGCAAAAGGGAGGGGTGGGGAGGATGGGATAGGGAAGGGGGGATTGGGGGTAATTACATTCGGTCTGAGGAAGGAGACCGACAGGTCTAATTCCTCAGACCAAGAGCCTCTTCACCGTGACAAGGAGCCCCCCTTGAAGAAAAAAAAAAAATCCTGCAGCAAGCAGTGCACGAGGAAAAAAAAACAAACTCTGACCATGTTTTTGGATTACAACACCGACTTTGAGGTGTATTATTTTCATGTAGTATTTATGGCTGTATTCTCATTTTCTTGGTCTCATTTGATAGAACATATATATTACAGAAATAGAAATGATTTTGATTGGTTTCACAAAGAAAAGGACCTTGAAATTGAGCTCAAAGTAGCAGAAATGTTCGATTTCTGCAAAAATTCAAAATAGACAGCAAGAGTAATATAAGAGGGCCTGGAGACATGACTAATGAACAGGGAAAATGTTATTCTAGTGCCAGGAATGTCTGCATTTTTTATTCTGGACCTCGCTGCAACATTCATCACCCATGCTTCACACCCATATAAGAGCGTTGGTAAAACTATACTCTCATACATTCCCCTCTTTGCCTCCAAGGACAAAGTTCTTGGAGGCAAAGAGGGGAATGTATGAGAGTATAGTTTTACCAACACTCTTATATGGGTGTGAAGCATGGGTGATGAATGTTGCAGCGAGGAGAAGGCTGGAGGCAGTGGAGATGTCATGTCTGAGGGCAATGTGTGGTGTGAATATAATGCAGAGAATTCGTAGTTTGGAAGTTAGGAGGAGATGCGGGATTACCAAAACTGTTGTCCAGAGGGCTGAGGAAGGGTTGTTGAGGTGGTTTGGACATGTAGAGAGAATGGAGCAAAACAGAATGACTTCAAGAGTGTATCAGTCTGTAGTGGAAGGAAGGCGGGGTAGGGGTCGGCCTAGGAAAGGGGTAAAGGAGGTTTTGTGATCGAGGGGCTTGGACTTCCAGCAGGCATGCGTGAGCGTGTTTGATAGGAGTGAATGGAGACAAATGGTTTTTAATACTTGACGTGCTGTTGGAGTGTGAGCAACGTAACATTTATGAAGGGATTCAGGGAAACCGGCAGGCCGGACTTGAGTCCTGGAGATGGGAAATACAGTGCCTGCACTCTGAAGGAGGGGTGTTAACGTTGCAGTTTGAAAACTGT